AGCATATATATTTGAAAAAATTAAATGATACAATTTCATATGATTTGATGTTATAAACATTGAATACATTCAGAGATATTGATAGCAGTGTATTATTTAAGGCATTATTACATGATACAGTTTCTAAAATAAACCAAAGAACTAGTTCACCCCACTTAAACAATTATTCTAAGTGCCATATAAAATGCTATTTTCTTCTTTTTTTTATATTAACGTCTAATGTATTATTTGCCCCAGGGGTCCAGGTCTGTGAATCATCAGGATTACACATTTCACAGCACTCACCATAGCACATACCCTCCCCAATGTCCATCACCCAGCCACCCTATCTCTACCCACCCTGCCCCCCAGCAACCTTCAGTTTGTTTCGTGAGATTAAGAGTCTCTTATGGTTTGTCTCCCTCCCCAGTGTCATCTTGTTTCATTTTTTCTCTCCCTACCCCCCACAACCCCCTGCCCTGCTCTCAAATTCCTCATATCAGGGAGATCCTATGATATTTGTCTTTCTCCGATTGACTTATTTCGCTCAGCATAATGCCCTCTAGTTCCATCCATGTCCTTAATGTTATTTTCTTCTAAAGTAGTTTCATTATTCCTGGGCTGCAATGTTTGTATTGTAGCTAACCTTGCATTAAATAAAATTTGCTTCCCAAAATCATAGACCTTCCAATCAGTCTTTTCATACTTAAGATTCAACATTCTGATTCAAGATCCAAAAGTCACCAACATTTCCATTCTAGTCATACTAGCACTCCATAGTATTAAAGTGCCTCCCAACCATATTCTATTAAAATTTTAGTTAATCTTTAAACTACAACTACCAAAAAAAAGAAGTAGATGAAAAACAGTTCTTCCCCTTTTCCAAAAAAACAAAATAAAACAGAAGAGGAAGAAAGAAAAAAAAAAAAAAAAAACCCTAAACAAGTACTTCTGACTTCCCTCAAACAAGAACATATTGGCCAGAATTGCATTCAGGCTGTCTGTATCTATAGCTCACTGTCAAAGTCAGCTACTGAATTTTAAGTCAGCAGCCATGCAGCTTTTTCCAGTGCATTCTCAAGACAATAATGTGGATTCCCACCATCCCCCATGGTTCCTTGGTAAAAAAACATAGGGTCACCGCCTTAGTAAAGGACATCCAGGGATTGTGACTTAAGCAGACGAAAACGTGAGACTCAGTACCTCAAAGTTCTGTGAGCCCTTTCAATTAAATATGGGCCCTTTACCTTCAAAAGTAAGGTAGCTGCTGGGGCGTGTGGGTGGCTCAGTGGGTTAAGCTGCTGCCTTCGGCTCAGGTCATGATCTCAGGGTCCTGGGATCGAGTCCCGCATCGGGCTCTCTGCTCAGCAGGGAGCCTGCTTCCCTCTCTCTCTCTCTGCCTGCCTCTCTGTCTACTTGTGATCTCTCTCTGTCAAATAAATAAATAAAATATTAAAAAAAAAAAAAAAGTAAGGTAGCTGCTGCCCTGAGAAAAGCACCTCAGGACGTCAAGAACAGACATAAAGAGTAGAGAGAGACTTAGACCTCATCTAATATTACCCTCCTTTCACACATGAGAAAACCAAGGTCCAGAGAATTAGAATGACTTTTCTAAGGCCACTGGACTGGCCAATCACCATTTTATCCCAAGGGTGTGTCCTTTACTAAGACCTTGCATTTCAGTCAATTTTTAACTTTATCAAAGTGTCAAATACAGAAGTCTCTCTGCATATTTAGAGATTAGGTTCCTAAAATTTCTTTCAAGGCAATTTGCAAGTGATGTATTTATGACTAAATGGTGAGAGTAGGACATGGAGGTCCAAGATCAAGAGTGAACCGTGAAACCTCATAAATACTTTCCTATTCACTGAAATATAAAAGGAGACAGCAACACACTTTGTAAATAGAGTGAAAATTACATTTGATGTTTCTTAAGTTAGTAATAGTGGGTGTTAAAAAAGAAGTTTTTATTTATTGCTTACCAGGAATTTGTCAGGAGCTTCCTATCCCCAGGTTCAATGAAAAGCATTGACATGCATGTTGTTCTATGCAATTAATAAATACAGTAAGAGGAATCTTCCTTGACTGGTCCCCCATCCAAATGCCCAATGTCTCTCTCAAACTGTGACTTGAAGAACTTCACTCTTTTCTGTTGGCCCCTGTTTCACATATCACAGACATTACTAGGTTTAAGTCCTAGATTTACCTTCTCTTCTTTTTTCTCGCTTATGATTTCCTTGCAGAAACCACTACTCCTTTTCTGAAATCACTTTATCTCCTCTTTAGAATTCCCAGTACCAGTTCCTTATTTTTCTAATGATTCAAACTGGAAACAACTACAAGTTTAACTTTCCAGAAAAGAAAACAGATGCAAGTCCTCATACCTTTGTAACTCTTGTTACAAACCAAATCACTAAAATGAATGTGCAGTTACAGCCCATTATCAGAAAAAAAAAAAGAAAAAGAAAAATACAGAGGCCATCACAAATACACACAGAGCCCAAGGAGACTATAAGACATATTTATTTTGCCCATAGAGTCACCTAATTCTTACTCCATATGGTCAGTTTCAGGGAAATATTTGGGAGCTCCTTCTCCCTCTAACCTCCTGTGATCTTCATTTTTGTGCTTTCTCCTGAGTTCTCTAACTTGTCTGTCAGCCACAGTCTCAGTCTCTACCAACAGCTAACTGAGGACCAAAATGATGGAAATCTTTACTCTCACCTCTAGCCTGGGAAGTAAGAGAGATTTGCTGTTGGTAGAATTTGATTCCTCATAGTAGCAGACTACATCTCTCAGTTTCTCCAAAGAAATCATCACACAAACGGACCTTTATACCTTCCCATTCCTAATACTGATGGCATTTTATAACTAATCACTTAGATAAAGCTTAAAGATCCTCTTTCTAGTAGAGATAAAAAGGGAAAACAAAGAAAACAACTATTTATATGAGAAAATTGAAATTGTAAGATATCTCTATTTGTGCTCAAATTTCTGTCTTTTCTTACCTTGGATTTTCTTCCACCTTCACTCATCTGTATTCAGCTTCATCAGGTTTTTTCTTTCTGGTGGATCATTTCAATAGCTACAAACATAATGTTCAGCATCCATCCAAAGAAACAAGAAAGAAAAGAACATTTTTCTACTCCCCTTCACAGCAAAACTCCCCATAAGTATTGTCTATACTCACTGTCTATAGTTTCCGTTCTTCCTTTTTTCCCTCAATGTTTAAAATACTTCATATTTAAATTCCATTCTCTCCCTATTTTAAATATTCACATGCTATTGAAAGTATATTGCTCCCTTTTAAAATGATGTCAAAGCAAAGGGCTTTTAATTAGGACTCCAGAACATAGTAGTCTGAACTAAGGAGGAGTCTCTTAATTGCAAATACATAGAAATGCTAAATAAAAATTTAAAATATATATCATGGCTCAAGGTAAAGATGTGGAAATCTCCAGGTGCCAGAAAATAGGAAGAAACCTACAGACTAGCAGTGACTATATGGATCCAAACAACACAGGCAGGCAGGAGGTTGGGAGCCAGGACCATGCGTTGGGCAGAGCTCCAAGCCCCAAGGCCCTCCAGGCTCTCATTCTGTCCTAAGCCCACATTAATCAGGTTTTCATACCCAGTATATCCTTTCAGTATTGTCCCTTGGATGTCAAATGGGCATCTCAAATGAACATGTCCAAAACTGACTCCTAATCCGCCCCACAAAAACCTATTTCCCCCAGTACTTCCCATGGTTAATTTATTAGTTGCCCATTAATAAATGATGTCCCTTCTTCCATTTGATCAGGTCAACAACCTTAGAATCATTCTTGACTTGTCTTTGTTTCTTGTATTTCACCCCAATGTGTCATCAAATCCTATTAGTACCACCAGCCTTTCTCACAATATCTTTTACTACCACACTGGTCTGTGGTATAAACATCTCTTGCCTACTTTTTTTTTTTTTAGTTTTTTTAAGATTTTATTTATTTATTTGACAGAGAGTAAGAGCAGAAGCAGGG